TTTAAAATCAAGTATGAGACAAGAATGAACATCAGTGCTTTCATTTAGCACTGTATTTGGAGACCTGCACAATGTTAAAAAGAAAAGTTTAAGGGGGTCTTGAGCTTTTAAACTGTCTGTATTTCCAAAAGGTAAAGCTTTAAGAAAGACTAAGGAAGGAGAAACAGAGACAGCCGCAGAAAATCACATGAACAGAACATACATGAATCACAGGGAACAAAAGAGCTGACGGGTTAATCTAAATCACTATCACAGCTCTTTTTGAATAAATAGGGAACTTAGAACACCTAGTTTTATCTTTGCTAATGTTAATGTAAAATACTTAGGAAAAAAAAAGTTGGGCACATTTCCTTGGCATATTTAAAGTGGTTAAAAAGAAAGAAAAAGCTGCAAATAGTTTTGAGATAGATGGCATAATTATTGACATTGTCAATAAAACATTAATTCAGGGTTGGAAATGAAATTATTTCTTTTAACAGGTACCATCTGGACTCAGCAGATACTAAGCTTGATTTATTTTGAGGGACATCGTAACAGAACTGAAGACTTGGCAACGCTTGATAGAATCCCCTTCTTTGAATACAATATACGCAAAACAGACTTTCTCAACAGACCATCTCCTCGCCTCTTCTGTTCCCACCTCCCATATTATTTAGTACCGAAAGGTCTCAAGAGCAAAAAAGCTAAAGTAAGTCATATAAATAGCTAATGGACCTTTGGCACAAACAAAAATACTTTCTTCAAATATTCTTTTCCAGCCCCACTCATCCACAGTCTTTCAAATGTGATTATTGTAATCTTTGATACTGTTTTACACATTAAATATATATATGGAATTATAAGTATATACATAAATTGGGTCATCCCACACATTGCTTGTAGTGTGACTATATAGTAGGCAGCAACATTACTTTGATGACAGCACATAAAATTCTATTCTTTGTAATGGTTTAGTAGAATTTATTGTATGGCTCTACAATGTTTAGTGTATTGATGGATAGGTAAGTTGCAGCAAATGTATACATTACATCTCAAGACACATTGTTTTTTCTTTTTTTTAATCTTCACCCGAGGATATTTTTCCATTGATTTTTAGGGAAGAGAGAGGGAAGACAGAGAGAAATATCACTGTGAGAGAAATACATCGATTGGTTGCCTCCTTCATGAGCCCTGACCAGGGTCCATGCAGAAGGAGACTGCAACCTAGGTAACCTGTCCTTGACCAGAATCGAACCCTGGAACCTTTGGTCTGTAGTCCCACACTCTATCCACTGAGCCAAACAGGCTAGGGCCAAACTATTTAGTTTTCAATATAAATTATAAAATGATATCTCAAACTAATCGGAGTTTGCATTTTCCTAATCAATAATGAGATTAAGCACTTTTTGATATGTTTATTGGCCATAATAATTTCTTATTCTGTGAAATTATTATGATTTTTGTCCAATTTCTAAATTTCATTGTCTCTTTCTTAATGATTTGTTTTATATATATTCTGGATACTAATAAATTATTGGTTATATGTGTTGCTTTTCTCATACTTTGTTTCTTTTTGTAACTTCATGCTATATATTTTGATGAACAGCATTCTTTAAAATTAATTTAATTTAATTGATCAATTTTTATTTTAACTAAAATAATATTTTTCTGTTTAGGAAATCTTTTTCTTCTCTGAGACCAGAAAGATATTTTTTATTTTTAAGATGTCAAATGTTGCTTTCATATTTAAATCCTTAATCCATTTGTAATTTTTTTGGGGGTGGGGAGGTCTGGTGTGAGGTCTGAAGTAGAATTCCAGTTTTATACTATATGGATAATTATTTGTTTCAACATCATCTGTTAAGTAGTTTTTCCTTTTTGAAATGCTCTCAAGTGCTATCTGGGCTTTTTATCAAATGTCACTTAATGCTCACAGAGGGTACATTGAAACAGTTTTTATGAAGGGTAATTTGTAATATTAACCAACCTTAATTAAATAAGTAATTTTACTTTTAGAAATTATTCCTATATGCTTGCACATGTAAAAT